ACCTGAGAACAAAGGTAATGAATTGTTGTTTTGACAGTAATTATTTCTTGTTATGCATTATTAGCTTCTGATACTTTCATTACAAATGGTTCCAGAGAAAATAAGGATATTACCAAAGACAATTGCTATGGAATGCTCTTACTGTGAAGAGAGATGCTCACCAAAGTAGAGATGCCTCAGGTGAGATGGAGGGTCTGTCTCACAATCGGCTGTCATGGCTCCCAGTTTCTTGTGCTGTAGATTAAATCAAACATCTTCTTCCAGATCACCTCATCAGGTGGCTTAAGGCAGAAAGAAAAGTGATCAAGAGCCATTTAATCTTTGCTGAGATACAGAACTGTAGGGAGTGTTTCTATTTGTTGGAGCTTAATGAGTAACATTTAGCACAGAAAGACTGAACATTTTGAAACATTTTGCATTCTTCTTCATGAGCAGAGAAGCACAGCCTGCTCTGTATGTCCCAGAATCTGCTCTCTGGTTTAGTTCTGCCTGATAAGGAGGAGTTGGCATTGCCTGTTGTCTCCCTGGGAAGCCCAGCAGGAGCTTAAAGGAGCTGCTGTGTCAGTCATTTCCCTTTTATCTGCATTTCTGCTTATTCATTTAGACTTTGTTCAGATTTAGAATCGTTGGTATCTGTCCAATTTTTCTACTCCATGCAATCCTTCTACCTTATATTTTCCTCTTAGCAGACCTGTCAGGGATGGCACACAACAGGGATACCAAATACATAATAGAAGAGAAGATTCACAGGAAAGCATGGTGGTGACTTTATTAGTTTGAGGGATTTTCACTTTCTTAAAAAATACTAGTGGAAAAAAAAAAAAAAAATACATATCAGCTGTGGAAAAGTCCTCAGTGGTAAAACAAGTGCAGGCAAAGGTAGGTGTTGACAGGTAGGGTAGAGAGCATCTTGCAAAGATGTGGGGAAATTGGAGGGGCCTGAAAGTTGGGTCAGGTGATGTACAAGAATCCAACCTGTGAGTCCAAATTATATCCATGCTGAATTAAGTTCCAGTCCTTTCCTATGAGCCAACTTAATCAACATGATGAAAAACCGGATACAGTTTACAACTACTGTTGGTATTAGTCAGAGGTTATTAAATGAAATTAAAAAAAAAAAAAAAAACAACACCATGTTGTGTGTCAAGTAGCTTCCTTGCTATTTTTAACAGTAGCTACAACCCCAGTGAAACAGGCAGATAATTCAATTCCGGTAACCTCTCATAGGAATCTGTCCAAGTGTTTTTATTTTGTATGGATGGAGGAGCTACCTAGCAAGAAACTGGGAAGTAATCTTGGCAATAAAGGGCTCCTAAGAGACTGCAAGCCCTCACACAGCATTCAAGGCAAATGCTAATTGCAAAGGACAAGACAATTAAGATGTAGTTGCAAGTTGCTAGCTGAATAGGAAAAACCTTATCCTTATTTATGAACAGTGTTTACCTTGCATGTGGAGCAATGATGGAGAATGGAGGAAAAGTTTTTAAACTGTAGGGGAAGAAAAAAAAAAAGGAAAAAGTTGATTTTTTTTTTTTTTTTTAAATACTGCCATTACAAAGACTTTTTTTTTGTTTGTTTTTCTAGAGGCCTTGTTACTATGAAGCTGAGAAGCACCCAGTTTGTTTTCAGCATTGTCTCCATGAAGTGTTCAGAGGCAGGGGAAGGAGATTGTGGCTACCCTACTGCCCTTAGATCTGTTATTGGTATTAAAGCAATAGAATATGGCCTGTTTGATTCTTAGCACTGCATTCTTTGATGAAAAGAAATAGTGCTCAGGGCAAAGATGAATACCAATTAAACTGTGTTGCTTTGGTTACTAGTAACAATGTCAGAATATCTCAGGATTGCTGCATTTAAGATGAATGTTAATTTTTTTTTTTTTTAGCTTATCTTGTTATATCTCATCAAGAAATGTTTATTTCAGTGTACTTTGGAGACTATGTGGGTTGGAGTTAGAAAACAAGTTTATTTTTTTTTCAGGGTCTTTCAGTGGGACTCCTGCAAGGATGTCTACAACAAGGGAAGTACTTTGTGCCACCAGACTCCTATGGGCTCTGAAGTAGAACACATGCTCAGTGGTCTGTGGTTGCTAGCTTGTTCATTGGTCTCCAGGTTTTTCTGTCAGGATAAAGCACTAAACAGCACCTCTTACTCTGCAACTATGCCTTTTTGCAGCCCCCCCCCCACGGTCTGCTTTATCTGTGGTTTTTCAAGCAGTGCTCGACTAAGGGAGGTGGGTGGCTCCAACTGCCTGCTCCTGCTCAGGATTCCTTGGTTAAGCATCTCTAGTGTTGTAGAGTTAGGGCAATATGGTCGGATGGAGGTTGGACTTGATGATCTTCAAGGTCTTTTCCAAGCTGAGCAACTCTATGATTCTATGAAGATGCTGAAAAGAATACTTCATCTAAAAATTATGAATTTGGATCAAATGTAATCTGCATTCAAGCCTGCTCATGTCATCCGTTTTTAGCCAGACTCTCCCTTAAGGGCTTTCCTTTGAGCTTCAGCTTAGTGTTGTTTTTTTTTCCCCGGTTGGTGCTGTTTAGTGCAGCGGGCGCTGAAGCCGTTGGAAGTTCGATCATTGACTTTCATGAAGGAAACCTCAGGATCTGAGCGTTTGAGCTGGGGAGGGTACTTAGCAGTACTCAAGCAAAGATCTGACCGAGTCAACGGGAGTTTTGCCACCTTCGGAAAATGCAGGACGGCACTCTGCCTTTGCGCTGCCCTCCCTCCTGCTACAGGGTGACAGCAAAACAAACCGAAACCAGCGTGCTGTGCTCCCTTCAGCCTGCTTGAAAAGAAAATATTTTTCAAAATTACGACTTTGGGAGAAAATCAGCTCTTAAATATCGAAAAAACCTTTAAAAAACAGGGAATCTGAAACACAGTTATCCCAGATAATCCCAATGCTCACACTATATGAACTTAAAATGAGTAAAAAACGCTGTGTTGTCGCATATTGTCACTTCCTCTTTAGGCATATATGTTAGAATGATGGGGTTACAAAAGTTTAAGTTATCGTAAAGAGCTCCTACAGAATAAACTTCAGGAATTTTCTTGATTCAGCTTTGCACACATTCCAGAATGAAATGGAATTAGGCAGCTTTGTATGCAAATGGAATTGCCATCACTAATTGGTAGTTCCAAGAAGACAGCCCTTCTTAGGGTCCAGGCCAAAGCAATGGACAGCCATGGAAAAAACTCCATCTCTTTTACATGGATATCTCGTGGAATCTATTCATTTTTCTTCCATACACTTTTCTTAATGAACGAAGAGGACTGACCACACGGTTTGGTCTTTTGGGTTGTCCCGTATGGAGCCAGGAGCTGGACTCGACGACCCTTTGGGACCAGGAATATCCTGTGTCCGTATGAAATACGGCAGCGTCAGGCGGTGCTCCGCTCTGCTGTAAGCGAAAGCGGCAGCGGGCAGCGAGGGGCGGGCGCTGGGCTGGGCAGCCGGGCTCTCCGAGAGCTGGGGCTGCTCTCCCCCTGCGAGAAGGAAGGCATCGCTACAAAGGGGCAATCTTTACAACTGTTCGGTTGGAGGAAGTTTCTTGGCTGTAAACTGTCATGCACTGCAGCTCGCAGTGAAAAGGTTCTGGGAGCGGGGAGTTTTCTCTCTTAAGAGCAACCGGAGTGCAATTAAGATCAGAAAGGAGAAGGAAATAAAATAACAGCATCAGGAATGCAAGCTGAAGGGTAATTTTTTTTTTTTTTTTTCAACCCGTTGGAAACATGTGTAACTTCAGAAAACTTGATCACGGTCATTTCGAGTTCTAAAGCTAGCCAGACTGCTTCTGGGTCGGCAACCTCAGCTGAGCGCACGCTTTGTCTGGGCTGAGCGGCACGGCCGCTTGCTGCGTTTTAAGTAAATGGGGAATGTCTACAAATGAAGGCGGATTCGCTGCCATGCGATGTGCCAAGTGCTCGGCGCACGGTAGGACTCACGCAGCGCGGCTGCTGCTGAAGCGTTGCTGCCGGTGCGTGCTGCTGGAGCGCACCGCCGGCGCTGGGGATAGCCTGGCCTGGAGCGCTCGTTTGGAAGAGCTGCCGTCGCGTTTTTAAGAGCAGCTCACTCAAATACACGTGCAGGTGGACTTTGCCCCCTCTTCGTTTTCGGGATCGTTCCTTTCCCACCGAATTGGCCCCGTCGCCTCCGGTGCCGGTGGTTATCGCCGCTGTCGACCTCGCGGCGCTCGTTGCCGGGCACGGCGGCCCTATCAGAGTTGAGCCCCGGGTAGCGGGGCTACGGCACCGTCCCGGGACGTCCCACAGCGACGGCGCTCGGCGGCGGCAGAGTGGGTGCGCGTGTTTGTGAACAGAGAGTTGGTTTCGCCCCGTGCCGTTTCCCCCCCCTCTCCTTAGCTCCGGTTTAAGTCACTTGTTGTTGTTGTTGTTTTTCAAGGAGCGCCCATTGAACGATTTCCTGCTCGTTGTCACCTCTCGCCCTCTGCCCAGAGATGCTCGCAGAGGGCAATAAACCGTCTCCCTCCCCCGCACCGCCGCAGCCCCGAGGATGCCCATCCCGGGAGCATCCTCCGCCCCTCCCCGCGCCGAGCTCCGCCCGCACGGGGCCGGGCGCTACGGCCGGACGCGGGCAGCGGGAGTGGGGCGCAGCCGGGGCCGCGATGGGCCATTTCCTCCGCGGCGCGGCGGCCGGGCCCGGCGCTTTGATGGAGGTGCCAACATGTGGGGATTTGCATCAAACAGCCGCGCCGCGTCCCGCGGGCGGCAATTCGCGGCGCGCCCCCCCGCGGGCCGCGCTCTGATATGGCCGCGGGGAGCCAATCGGCGGCCCGGGCGGGCACATCAAAGCGGCGCTCCGCCAATCGGCGGCGGCTCCCCGCGGGCGCGGTGATGTCACGGGGGGGCGTTTATGGCGGGGTATAACGGCGGCCCCGGCCGGAGACAGCGGGCGAGGGGCCGCCGAGCTCGGGCGGAGGCAGCCGGGCCCCGCCGGCGGCGCTCGGGGAGGGGGGGGGGTTTCGGAGGCGGCCATGGGCTCCCCGGAGGACGCGGGCAAGGCGCCGGCGTACCGAGTAGACCACCTGCTGAGCGCGGTGGAGAGCGAGCTGCAGGCGGGCAGCGAGAAGGGAGACCCGACGGAGCGCGAGCTGCGCGTGGCGCTGGAGGACGGCGAGCTGTGGCTGCGCTTTAAGGAGCTCACCAACGAGATGATCGTCACCAAGAACGGCAGGTAGCGGCTGGGCGGTGGGACGGAGGGCCGGGGGACGGGGAGAGGGGACCGGAATCGGGCCCTCGCGCCACGGTGTCACCCCGCAGGAGGATGTTCCCGGTGCTGAAGGTGAGCGTGTCGGGGCTGGACCCCAACGCCATGTACTCCTTCCTGCTGGACTTCGTGGCGGCAGACGGGCACCGCTGGAAGTACGTGAATGGCGAGTGGGTGCCGGGCGGCAAGCCGGAGCCGCAGGCGCCCAGCTGCGTCTACATCCACCCCGACTCGCCCAACTTTGGTGCCCACTGGATGAAGGCGCCCGTCTCCTTCAGCAAGGTCAAGCTCACCAACAAGCTCAACGGCGGAGGGCAGGTAGGTGGGTCCACGTAGAATCGTTGAGGTTGGGAAAGACCGCTAAGATCGCCTAGTTCGACCATCAGCCCAAGCGCGGGCCATGGAATCACTGTGCCTGTCTGTGGTCCACACTCACCTGATGCATCCCTTTGCTCTCAGATCATGCTGAACTCCCTGCACAAGTACGAGCCCCGCATCCACATCGTGCGGGTGGGCGGCCCGCAGCGGATGATCACCAGCCATTCCTTCCCCGAGACCCAGTTCATCGCTGTGACGGCGTACCAGAACGAGGAGGTACGTGTGGCAGGCAGAGGCCTCTGGTGCTTTCGGCCTTCCAGGTGGCAAAGTGCATGTTATTACCCAGCAAACCGATGGGGCTTGTGCCACAGCTTTCACTTCTCTCTGTGCTGAATCTGAAGCTAAATGTCTTATTATGCGTGCCTGGGGTTTTCACAAGTTCTGATTCCTGTCCCAGTATATATGCAAAGTAAGTTTAATAGATTATTGGGACAAACCAACGTGGTATGAAACAGAGTTGCAGTTTTCCATTGCATTGTAAAATAGCTGGTCATGCCGTTCTCCAAACTGGTCTTGATGTTAGCCAAAAGGCTCGTCTGTGTATCATAAATCTGTAAACTGCCGATCTTTTTGAGATTTTTTGGTGCCCATTCTGCTCTGTCCTGAAACTTAAACCTTTTTTCAGCCCTGTAGTGTACTATTTTCCTTAACTGTTTCCTCAGTTGATAGATAAATGTGGGCACTTTGGTCACATAGATTTGAGGTGGTGGGACCCATTCCTAGCCCACTGCTAACACTTCAGACATTAGATGCTGTTAAATTGGTGTACGTGGGTCTAATCTTAGTTCTTCAAAAATCTATGACTTCCCTGACTTCACTGGAAAGTCCTCATTCAAGTCTTTGATTTCTGTATGATAATTAAGATATCTGTTGTTTTTAGATCACAGCTTTAAAAATTAAATACAATCCATTTGCGAAGGCATTTCTTGATGCAAAGGAAAGGTGAGAGCTCTTAACTCAATTCTGAAGTTTATGGATTTATTGTGTAGGTTTGTGAAAACATATCCTTAACTTTTGGCATGTTTTCCTTTGTAGAAATGATCACAAAGAAATGATGGAGGAAGTGGGAGACAACCAGCAGTCTGGATACTCGCAGTGTATGTTTCCTTACCTTTTTCTTTGTAAATATACTTCTGAATTCTTCTATTAGCAAAACTTGGAGAGCAGTGTTTGCTGGTTGGTGTGCAAGTTCATAAGGAGACAACATCACCAATCTTCAAATTTGCTCTTTGTGCAATCTAATGGGTGTATAAACATCTGATATGTAAAGGTGTGGTAAAGGCAGCACTATTATCTTAAGCATTCTCTAACAGGATCTTGCATTGACCTTCTTTTCCGAAAAGACAGCCAAGGACAGGGGTATTCATACAGATATGGAAATCAATGCTTATTTCAAAATACAGCAGAAACTTGCTGGAATTGTATTTCTGTAATTCAGATAGGGGCATTTGCTTGAAAAGTTCTCTTAGATGAGTAAAAAGCAGTAGTGTTTCAATGGTCTGTGTTTAAAGGGTTATTGCCAAAATTTGTCTGCAGCCTATAAAAGGAGTTCAGCCACAGTAGGAATTACTCTCTTTTAGCAAAGAGGCTTAGTTTGTGAGAGTTCTTAGCATTTTGAGAAACCTCAGATCTTAGCTATATGTTGAGACCCCCAAAAGAGCAATTTACAACTGACAATTACACTGTTACTGAGCACATCCTTCCCACCTAAGGGAGAGTTTAACTGTTTCAGTGTTTCCTTACTTTACTGTGGTTGTAATTAAGTGAGAATTTTAACAAACTTTAACTTGATGCATGGCTTTTTCTGTGCTGTTTTCCAATTTTCCTTCGTAAGACCATTTGAGAAGTTGTAAAATTCCAGACTTCTCAGCTGTATTACGACTTGTTCTCCTTTCATGAGCATGCATTTCCTTTTGGATCCGTTACGTACCTTGTCACCATGCTGTTCTTTCAGTGTCCGGTTGCATTGCATACGTACAGTAGATAACTCTTGCTCTCTCACAGTAGGTAGTTGGCTTATTCCTGGGACTGGGGCTCTGTGCCCACCTGCCAATCCTCATCCTCAGTTTGGAGCAGCCCTGTCTCTCTCCCCTGCTCACAGCTGTGAAAGGTACTCACCGCTGAGGAATCACCGTTCTGCCCCCTACCCCAATCCCTACACCCATAGAAACAACTCACCAAGTAAGTTGTATTTTGCAGCTGTTTGAAGATGGGATGTAAGCTTTGAGCAGTGTACATTTAGACTGATGCTGCAGGAAATGGCAGTTGCTTTCCAGTTGAGTTTTGTCAGAGGGAAGGGGGGTAGCATTGCAAAGAAAGAGTGGCAGTGAGTGTGCATTTCCAGTCTTTGCAGTGGAAAAATGAGGCTATATAGAACTGTTGGTCCCTAAATTGTTAGACTGTATTGTACTGGTTTCGCTATGTATTCTTGATGACTGATGAGGTTAAACTTACTTTAAATTTGAAAGTAAGGATTTCATTTGTTAGTAGGAGATATGATGAAATGAAGTCATTTATGTCCACTTCTGGTAATGGGATTACTTGTTGTTAACATGTTTAAGCAAATAATTGAGGGCCTGGTTCTATCAGTTTTATTTACCTATTGCCGTGGTTTATATTAATGCATGAAGATTGTCCTCAAAAAGTGTGTCGCAACTGGATATATCGTGTTAACAATGTGGAGCTGAGTGAATTGCAAAGCTATTTATCAGTGGTGCTCAGAAACTGCCAAGGAGCTTAAGGCTTAGTGCCTTAAAGCAGGAGTGCATAAGGAACAGAAGTTGAGGTCATTTTTAATAATGATTTTTTTTCCCCTTACTCTGGCAAAGGCTTGGTAACAGCTTTTGCCTATGCTGAAGGTTTCCATCTAGAAAAATGCTTAATATTTTTGGATTGTGTATTAATACATAGCCTTCTAGGTGCTGCCTGGTCAAACATATGTGCAGCTTTGTTGGCTATTTTAAAGAGGAAAACAAGCTTTCCTTTGGCTTTCCTTACATTTGGGCATTATGGGCAAGTTTGGTGACCTGAAATAAATTGAAAGAACAAAACACTTCCAGTGTTCCTCTTCTTTCCCAAGTTTTCAGCAAGAAACCATTTTTTTTCCTTCCCTTTGCCAGCTAGCAATGCAACTTCTAGCTCTGTGGAGCTGTTTAGGGTTCCCTTTATAGCTTTTCAAAGGCTTTGCTGTGTTGGATGGCCAGTTTTGATCACCCGCTGTGTGGTTTAAGCCACGGTCCAATCACTCTGTGGTGGCATTCACAGCTCGGAACTATGATATGTAATCCAGACTGCATATTATCAGGGCTGCCAGACTGTTATTGCCAGTGTAGGTGATGGTGATAAAGAAGGTGCCTTGGAAGAGAGATGTCAGTGGTGTGAATAAGGAGCCTTTCTGTTGACAGGGTAAGGAAGCATGATCTGAATGAGCAGGTGGTTTGAAGACAGCATTTTTTTGTGTGTGTGTAGATCCTTTGCAGAAGTAGGACTTTGCAGTTATAAGCTAAGCAATCAGCAATGCTGCTGAAACTGTAAGCTTGATACAACCAGTAGATGACTTTATTTTTCTTTGTGGGAGCATTTCATTTTTTTAATTACTACTTTTTTGCAAGCCAACAGTGGGAGAGGGTTTTAAAGTGATCCATGACGTTTGAATAAAAGATTGTTGTTTGTTCTGATTCTAGTGCATTGAAGTGATTGCTTGTTTTCTCAGCAGCTTATGCTGATAACTCCTCTGCCTGCCTTCCCATGCTCCAGTCCCATGACAACTGGTCCTCTCTGGGAGTTCCCACACACACCACTATGCTGCCCATGAGCCACAGCACTGGCACTGCTACCAGCTCCAGGTAGGAATTCATCCCTTAGTAGCACTAAGAGAAGGTTGTAAAAGGAGGCAGAGGCTCACCATCAAATTGAAAAATCCTTATGGCTGCATGTCGAATCGTCAGCATTAGGGGGGGCACTGTGAAGGAACTTTGTGCAAAGAGAGCAGATAGATGAAACAGACACAAGACAGCTTTGGAAATGTAGATGGATATTGGTGACAGCAATATTTTATAGAACAAAAATCATCTAGGCATCCACTGAATTTGAGGATGTTCTTTTAGGTTTCATCTCATTTTGCTTTTAAACAAAGTGGAGTTGGGAAGTTTGTTTCATTTTAGTCGGTCACTGTTTGCCCATTCATCTCCACAAACCCTTGTTGTGCTACAAAGGGGGCAGAGAACTGCAGCGTGCAGGATGAGGAAGTGGCTGGGGGAGTAATAAGCCAGCATAGCATCAAATCATACTGTCAATAGACTGTATAAAGGCATCTTTTCTCCTCGTTGTACTTAGTTATCTTAAAGCTTCAGTCCTTTAGCAGAGGTTGTGGTTGAACTTGGTCATCTTGAAGGTTTTTTTTTCAACCTAAATGGTTCTGTGATTCTTTTCCATGATTTAGACCCTCAGTCTCATGAGCTTGAAAATTCAAAGCAATACAGCTGAGGTGGTAAAACCTCTGCTGTTAATCACAGAAGGTTGATGTTTAGGCATCTTTTTTGGCAGCTCGTATCTACCATTTAGTTTGTGGAAAACGTCCTTCTTTGAGCCATGCACACCGGCACTCAGCTGTTAGAGTACGTACTAATAACCAGTATAAGACAGCTGACTTGCTGAACAGAAGTTTTGGCCCTGAACGTGCATTTATCAAGTAAACAGATACTCCTGGCGTGTCTTTCCATGTCTGACCCCAGGATACATACTTGGAAAGTTGTAAAGTCCACTGAATTTAAGTTGATGAATTAAGAGTTGTCCAGTAGATAAAATCTGGAGGACTGGAACTGTGAGACCTTGAGGAAGGCACTTCTGCCATCTCTTTTGTTTAAGCCCCTGTAAAGTAAGAATAATAATTCTATTTTACTTTTTTTTTTTTTTTTTTTTTTAATATATACACATATATTTGTTTATGTGCATATCTGGGGGGAGAGAGAGGGAGACAATAGGCTGAGTAGAGTGCTGATATGGACTAGAAGGATAAGTGAAGCTGGCCTGGGGCTACGTGGTAAACTGAGCACCAGCCAACAGAACCTGCAGTCGCTAATAACCTGTCGAATTTGTCGCTCTACCTCCTCCAGTCAGTACCCGAACTTATGGTCTGTGAGTAACAGCACCATCACCCCAGCATCTCAGTCAGGCGGGATGTCCAACGGCCTGAGCTCCCAGTTCCTGCGCAGCTCTCCGGTGCACTACACCGCTCTCCCACATTCCGTCACTGCCACCACCTCCACATCCCCACTGTACGATGGAGGAGCACCTGCAGACCTTCCTGACAGCCAGTACGATGCCTCCGCACACAGTCGGCTGGCATCCATGTGGACGCCCATCACCCCACCTTCCATGTAAACCCAGACGTCTACTTTAGAACTGACTTTTTTAGCTACTGAATTACTTTTAATGCTTAATCCTCAAGGAAGAGGAAGAGGAGACATGAAGGAAATTATAGATAAAGCATCTGCACTGCTTTGCATAGAGCATCCAAGTTGTGTCTCTGATAGTGAACAGACCATCATTAACTTCATGCAGAGTTTACAAATCTGGTGAGCGTGCAATTCTGAGAGCAGGTCTACTGCTTTTCATTTTTTTTTTTTTTTTTTTTCCTAGCTTGATAGGTCTAATTTTTAAGATTTTGACTTAGGTTCCAAATTTCTCAGTGTTCTGATGTATTTGGACCTGAAGTTTGGCATCTGAACAACTTTCTTGAGTAAGTTACTCCTTATTGTTTTTTTTTCCTTCTTAATGGCAAACCTAGGAATAGCCATATTAGACTGTTATTAACCACCTAGGTAGAAGCATTCTGAATTCTGCACAAGTGTAGCTGAGGATGAAAGTTTTTGGAAAATCATGTGCACTAATGCGTATTTGTCTCACGGATACGTTGTGTTCTTAACTGTATGCTTGTTTCCTTGCTGCTGAGTTAATGTTGAGACAATCTGCAAAAACTGCTTTCCTCCTAATAAATTACAGTATTATCATTTGGTCTAAATTGTTTTACCCCAAAGATTCCTTTTCAGGGTAAGTTTTGCTGTTTGATCATATTCAGACACCTGTCAGCTTTGCTAAATATCTTTATTTCAAAAAGCCAGTGTCTAATGTGAAGTCCTATCCAAAACCATTTCAACTCATTGAAAAACATCACGATCTTTTATGATCTCTTGCTCAGGCCTTAAAGGGAGGGAATTCAATACCTGGAGAATCATTCTAATATATATTTTTTTTCAATGTTATACTCTGTTGAATTGTATTTATTATTTCTTAAGTTGCATCTTCGTTGTCTACACATTAAGATATGTAAATAATCTGTCAATCTGCAGTGTATTTCTTTAGACAATGATGTGTAGGATTTGTCACCCAATGGCACATTGAACAACATGGGTGTCAGTAGTTAAATTATTGTGAGGGGGAAAACTTTAGTCCCCGATAGCTGGAGAAAAAGTGCAGATATACTAAGCTTTAAAATACATTGCTTGACTTGCTGGGATGGCCAGGTCTTGATAAAACACTTGATAAAACAAGACGACTTAAATTTCTAACGCAGACTAACTCATTGGCACAAAGGGTGCCCTTGGACTTGTCTGTTGCTCCCACTACCTGGCAAGTTCAGATCCTGAGGAGAATGGTTTGTTCTACATAAGCCATAGGAGATAACTTTTAAAACGAAGTGCCTAATATACTGGAGCAAAAGTTTTAAATCAGGGAATTCCTTAATAACTCTTCATTGTGTGCGCATGAGCTATGGTGGTAGCTTTAAGCAGAAGACGACAATATTTGCCACCATGTCAGTCTCCTTGGAACCTCATGGGCAGGTCCCTGTACCCAGAAGGATTGTGTCAGGGTTTTTACCCTGCCGAAGGATTTGTGTGCAACTGCAGAGTACGGTCTCTCAGAGGTACTCCATCAAGAGACTGCACCAGCAGCAGATAGCTGTGCAACCGTGTTCTCTGTCAATAGTGTAAATATTGGTCTAAGCTCTCCTATTTTATTGTGAAAGGAAATTGTGTATATGATGTAAGTGCATTATTTTTTAGAATATTTTGTAGAAGATAGTGTTATTTCATTGTATTTTTTTTTAATTGTACTTTGGAAGTATAATTTAAATTGGAAAAAAAAAAAAGAGTAAAGATTCTTAAATAAACTCAATGCTTAATTTTCAGTTTTTGGGGGTGGATTGGAAAGCTGAAACACCGCACAGCCAACCAAACATACTGAGCCTACAGTATGTCCAGCTTCCACAAAGTGGTTTCACAAATGGCTCTGGTTGCACAGCGCAGCTTCTGGCTCTGGGTGAAGAACCAGAGAGTTTTTCACAACCCAGTCAATGGGTTCCAATAGTTAAGGGGAACTTAAAGTGCTTACCTCCACATTTCTTTAACAGAGAAATTTATTGGGTTCTTTTCATCTGCTCCTTCTGTTTTTTCCCCCTCTTTGTTTCCTCCTTGATTTGGTAAAGCTGCAACTGAATGGTAGTTGGGGTTGGTCTGCATTGGGTGTTGTTTGACAATCAGTCATTGCAAGTGTCACCTCTGTGAGCCAGAACTTACACCTTGGAGGGCCTGCAAGGCCTGCAGGATGTCCCCTCATGTTGCCTCTGGCAGGCAGCCCACTGAGGCACTCAGAGGAGGGCAGCTCCCAGCTCCTGCCCAGAACAAGGGCAGTGGTGGTACAGGTCCTTTCAGAGACTGTCCTGAAATAACAACTGCCATCTACGCAGACAAAAATAATTCCTCCGGTTGATTTAGCTGGTGCTTGTCAGCTGACCTGCTTGTGAATAAGGACTGCCTGCCTGTGACCTATTTCTTGCCTTAACTTGGTGCCTTGGAGACCTCCATAGCAGTGCTGACCAGCACTTAAGGCCAGCAGGAGCTCCATGGTGCCTGAATGCATGTGATGCTAACTTAGGAGCTAGACTGTTTCTCATTCCCCTGTGATCCCTAAAGGAACTCAGTCCCTAGGTGCAAGAGGTCTATCCCTGTGGTGAGCATTTAAGGTGGCCCATGTACTTGTGAGAAAGTCCCTAAAGTCTGCGTGCTTTGGGTAGCAGTGGGGATCACTGTGTTAATATTCAGTTTGTCAGTTTTTGCTGGAATAAGTTCCTACTTGTTTAGGAGAAAAGGACGTGGCCTCAAGTTGCCCCATGGTAGGTTCAGGTTGAATATTAGGAAATATTTCTTCTCTGAAAGAGCGGTCAGGGAGCAGCACAGGCTGCCCAGTGAGGTGGTGGAGTCACCACTGTCACGGAGTTCAAGAACTGTGTGGCTGTGGCACTGAGGGATGTGGTTAGTGGGCATAGAGGCGATGGGCTGATGTTGGACTTGATGATCTTAGACCTTAATGAGTCTATGAAAATGCACAGTGCTGCACATGAACGCTGCTCTGACCTCACGGTCTGGTTTGCAGTAGGGATAGATTTTCTTCAGAAGGTGAAGCCCCTTGCTAATGTGGTTGAGAAACACCTATGTGATGTGACTTGTGCACAAATTTGTCTGCATGATTCTGGAAAGAAACCCTTCGACTTAGGAAATGCTCCTTTCAGAGTACATGACCCAAGAGGCACAGATACTCGTTTGTGTAGCAGAATCAGCTGAGTTGTCAGGAAAGAAAGGGTAGATAAAACCTTTGAGGTTCTCTCTCCTGTTGGAGATACGCTGTTACCAGCTGCTTTTCCCTTCAGGAAGGACAAGTCACTCCAGGAAGAGGGGCACACTTAAGTATATGCGTGCACTTTGAACACCCTCTGCAAGCAATGCCTTGGGCAGATTCAGAGGCCTGAATCTGTAAAGACAAATTTTTGCCCCAATAATACACCAAGGAGAATTCTGGACCACTGACAGCAGATTAAAATCAGCTAATTACCATTAAAGATTTTTGAGCATGAAGCGCAGCCATACATGCACACAGTTCACTTGTGAGTACAGCATTGTACATCCCCAGGCAGCTCAGCGTTTGTATCAGGCCAAGCTTACCTTACCTGCTTTTTTTTTTTTTTGGTGTGGGGTTTTGCTTTCAAATGAAAGAAACCCAAACCTTTCATACCATTGAATGCAGCTCCAAAGCAGCCTGAGCACTTACACATCTCTTCACACCTGCTCTGCCACCTTCTCATTCCAGCACTGTATGTTTGCTCTCATGGTGTTCCTGCAACCAGCAGCCATCCAGGAAAACCCAAATTCACCTTTGCCACTTGATCAGATCCAAACTACAAGCTCTCCAGTCAGCACAAGAACCATGTGGATTTGGTGTGACTCATCTGGATAGGTTTTCTCCGCTGTGGGCCTGCAGCAGCAACATTATGCCTGCTGGGGCACCTTAGCTGCTTCTGGTGGAAACAAGGCTGTGATGCAGACACCACCACATTTCTTAACCCCAACGAAGGCTCAGCCAGTGAGGCTTGCCATAGCCTGCCCAAGGGGAAACATGGCTCTGCAGTTCCCCTACCATTTCTGTTAGGAGGAAATTCTTCATTCAGAGTGCAGCGAGGTACCGGCACAGGCTGCCCAGAGAAGATGTGTATGCCCCAGCCCTGAAGGCACTCAAGGCAAAGCTGGATGGGGACCTGGGCAACCTGCCAGCACAGAGGGTTGGGGTTAGCTGGGCTTTAAGGTCCCTTTCAACCCAACCCATTCTGTGATTCTGCAAAGTAATGCAGATTGCCCCTGTCCCTGCCAGCTCAGAGGGGCGCAGGTGCCTCTGTGCTTCAGCTGAGTCTGGCAAACAACAAACCGATAGGCTGAACAGGTTTCATTCTGTTCCCTGTCCTTAAATCTCATCTCTATCAAGCTTCATAGTGACATTTCTGATGATGAATCTCACACAGTTTATCACATGCAACTGCACCACTACCAGATGTGGCCTTGTTCAAGTGGCTCTTTCCTGCCAACTTTTAAAACATGCCTCCTATACCTGCTGCTTGCTGAATGTCCTGCACTGAGAAACAGATGTTTGCTGCTGGAGAACATTTTTGGGTATAAAAATGCTAGAAGAGAAATAACGTGTTAAATCTCCAAGCTCAAATATGCTAACCTGCTTGAGGCTTTTTGGTTTTGTTTTTGTTTTTTTTTTACATTTTACAGGTGAACGTTCCCAAGGCCTAGCTCCCATTAGTTTTCCCAGCCTCCACATCACACCTCTTCCTTCTTCCCGAGAGCAGCAGCAGGTTAATAGGTGCTCGTAGAAAGGAACCCTGAAATATCCTTTACTTCTTTCCTGCTCTAATGGCACACCTGTTCTCCCTCTCTTCTCTTAGTGTATACAATCTGCGAGCTTTCCTGTAACAGCTAAATCATGACGAAGGTTCTCACATTTTCCTTTGCTCCAGCTACATAGCAGCCCTTGAGCTCTTGGAGTGAAGTTCAGTGGTTTCTCCTCAGTGTCAGCTCTGTGTTGTGCAGGTGAGCATGGGGAAGGTTGGGCAATTGGTGCAGGCAAGTAAGGCTGTTTTTGATGGGCACAGGTGGGGCTCTAGGGGCAGGTGGAGCTGTGGTGGTGTGGGAGGCTGATTTGTTCCTGGAGAGAAGGGAATGCAGATATAGCTGGACAGCAGTGGAGCGTTTGCCCTTTATCTCAGGAACAGCCAGTTTGCAGCTTATAGGTATGTGTGGAACAA